CACCCAATACCCTACGCCGCCAGTTAGTTCGAAATCGTCTCTATGATCGTTTGTGCAGCTCAGAAAACTGTATGATCTGTCCTAACGGGAGAGACGGGGATTTCATGAGTTTAGGTATAATATACTTGATCTCATGTAATGCATGCGGCGAGGAATATATCGGGGAAACGGGTAGACCACTTTGTGTCCGCATAAAAGAACATCTAGATGGGAAAGCTAAAATCCGTTTAAACACCCCTCTAGGTACGCATAGGGCACAAAAGCACAACGGCGATGATTTTGAAGTGAATGNCATTTCCAATGGCTACGAAGTAGAAGCCACTCAGGTTAGAGGAAAACATTGGGTAGTTTCCCAAAATAATATTTCGGACGTAAGTAAGATCCCCTTTAAACTACCCTTCATATCAAATGAAGTAAGTCACGCCATCAAAAAGTGCTTAAGAAAAGTGGTCTTGAAAATTATGTAACGATTATTGACAACCCACCCAATACCCTACGCCGCCAGTTAGTTCGAAATCGTCTCTATGATCGTTTGTGCAGCTCAGAAAACTGTATGATCTGTCCTAACGGGAGAGACGGGGATTTCATGAGTTTAGGTATAATATACTTGATCTCATGTAATGCATGCGGCGAGGAATATATCGGGGAAACGGGTAGACCACTTTGTGTCCGCATAAAAGAACATCTAGATGGGAAAGCTAAAATCCGTTTAAACACCCCTCTAGGTACGCATAGGGCACAAAAGCACAACGGCGATGATTTTGAAGTTAATGTGCGGATCCTAGCGCAGGAATCAAAAACATCAACGCGCTTGGCGTTCTTGAGGCGTTTTGGATAAATTTCAAATATCCAAAGATGAACCGGAAGGACGAATGCCTCACTATCACGCGTGACCTGGCGCCCTATTTCAAAATGATATTTTGACCCCGGGGCGTGCCTCGCTCGCGACTCCACGAAAACGTGTGGGCCAGTCCCGCACGTAACATCACGGTGAGTGGCCTTTCTGTTCAATATGGCGTCTATTTGAAAGTTTGATCTTCATTAATACCTTAACCTTCTTTTCCACCGAATAATAAAAAGTATTCTAACATAAAGTACGTCCAGGCTCTGAGGAAGGCGAAGTCGCCGAAACGTCAGCCATCGATCAATAACATCAAAAACAACGACAACGACAACGAAGATCTGTACCAACCTCGCGTCAGCTTAAGAAGATCAGTTTATAAGATCTCATAAATAAATATATCAACTATTTATGCCGAGGTTCATAGAAAGTCGGTCTTTCGAGTTATTAAAATATGAAATATTAGCTAAATTAACTCTTTCTGCTCGGGTAGATAAATGATCAAGTAACTGGATTAAGCAGAGTAAACTCTGTTTATACCCTCCACTAAGCACACTCGTTTAATAGACATGAAGCACGTATGAGGAAGATCCGTGGCGCGTCACAATGTATATGCTCCCCGTGCTCCCTCTATATGCACATTACGCTTCCATGTGAACTCTGTGTGGTTGGTTCCCGCACTCAGTGAAAGACTCGTAGAAAGCTGTAAGTGTGCCATACAGCTATTTTGTTCTCAATGCGATTGAAATCCTAGTTCATTATGTCCTCTGTTTTATTATGTAGGTGCTCCTGGCTAGATTGCAGTCAACTTGAACTCTCTAGGCTCTGGCGAAGGCAAAATCCGCAGAAACGTCAGATGTTGTGAATTATTAAACGCTGTAGCAACAACGTCGTGTTTACTCATAGAGAAAGTGAATATTCAAGATTGGACGAGCACTACAGGAAAAAAATTTGTACGCCTACTATACAGCAAAGCCTACTGTATAAGGTCGGACATGGATTACCGAGAGTAGGCTTTTCCCAGACAAATCCGGTACCAATTTCCCGACCTCCGAGGGATGAGAAGCCTGGTGAGGCCGAAGCGGAATCGAACCGGCACTGTGCACGTCATGATCGTCACCACTACCACTGTGCTTTTCGCCCCCTCAACTACTCTATTTATGAAAAAAAGTATCGGCAACTATTAAAAAAACAAAGATCGGTCTTGACAGGGGAAAATGTGCTCCGCCTATATTCTGTTCCGTCCTTTAAACATAATCAAACGCTACGAGGCATCCGGAATGCTCCCTCACTTTCCGTTTTGTTCCTCTGGATATTTCATGAATGTCGAGATTTGTATGTACATTTCCACCTCAGTGAATCCGAGAACAAATCTCTGGACCAGAGAATCTAAGAGGTCTTTGCAAGAGTTTTTCGTTTCTGTTTCTTTTCCGTATGTTGAAATCTCACCTTTTTTGGAATTCTTGCTGGAAACTGAGTTGTAGTGGAATGATGAGTTTTCTTGGATTTTTGTAAGAGAATTTGCCGTGTTTATCCTTGGTAGCCGATAGTTGTTGGTCAGTGTTGTTTTTGATCGTTACAGTTATAGAACAATATAAATCAATGTAAAAAATTCTTTTTTCCTTTGTCAGCCTATGTTGGGAATTACTTGATTTGAAGGAATTCTGCTATAAAGTAGTTTTAAGCATATCCGTACAACATAATGGTTTTTCATTTCGTGGTTGGGTGGGTGTCGTTGTTCAGAATTTTCAAAATACTCGTGTTTCTTTGAGTATTTCAGGATGATTGTCCGGATATGTCCCTACTTCCGCTCCGTATTACCCGGTCTTGTGCCGAGCACTACCTCTGCGACTCAGTTGGCTTTCGTGCACCATCACATGGAGCGAAAAGATCTGGCAAGATTCCTGGGTATTAAACGATCCAATACAGCACGAGCTAATCGAAATACGCACGTTAATGAGAAAATGTTTAGGAAGGTTAGTTATATACCAACATTTCCAAATTCGCTATCATCCTTCGTCCAGGAAGGATTTCAGTAATGGTGGAGTTTATATCATATTAATCAATGAAAAAAAGCCTGGTTGGGTTAAAAATGGTTTGCTGCTGGCAAATTAGAATGTAGGTAGTCTTCGAGGACTTCCAGTTCTCTACTATTATCCATTGGTCAATGGAATTTTTAGGATGGTTTTCTTTTAATTACTGGAATGGTAATTCTTTTTTCAAAAGGTCTCGGAACTTTTGAACTGGCTACCATCTGTATTATAGGTTTTCAGCTCGAATAATTGCACTTTTGGAGTTGAGGACAGAGGTGAAATAGAAAGCGGAGAAGACGGTAGTATTGAATTGCGACAGTCTCGTTAGAATATCTTTCTTGAAAACGATTCTAAGCGTTTTGTGAAAATGTCCTCTTTTGTTGCGAAAGTTTGCACAGTTCCTCTTCGATTTGTAAATTCACTGCATATATGATACTAGTATGATGCTGAGATATTTGCAAAACTTGGATGCCAGACTAGATCGAACCGCGATTACCCTTTCCGAGGCTCACATGTTACGCATGGCATCATTGAGACTCTTGCTTTGCCTTTCTCTCACCCAGTTTTCTACTTAACGCTCCCATTACCAATGCCCGTCAACAAACGAAATTGATCTGGGAAGCAAAAGTCGGCGTCAATTCCGGTTATTCTGAGGCTGTAGTCGAAATCACAGTGGTAACTTTTTATTTACTGACCATTAATGTTTTTGCTGATGATAGTGTTATGTAGGAAACTGGCTAAAAGAACGGCAAAGGTAAAGCCTCAGTGGTGCCGTTCGTAGCACTTGACCCCTCGGAAAGAGTGGTCGCAGTTCGATCTGGCCTGGAGTTCAGGTTTTGCAAATGTCTGAGTATCATACTGGTTGCATTTCACACCATATCTTACCGTGAAGAGTAGTAATAAGTTGTAAGTAAAAAGTCGTCGCTAAACATAGTTCACATTTGACTGGTATAATCGATCCTCGGATCAATTATTATACTATCAGTTGCTATTTCAATGTCCTTCTAATGGTAGACATTGACCATAAATAACCGGGTAATCCCTTTGGAATCAGCGGAACTCATTGACGTTGGCCACATTTTGTCATACTGAAAAGGTTATATGTATTCGGAAAATTTCTTATTCATTGCCTAAGCCGCTTTCTTTTTGTGTAAGAAAAGCTAATAGTGCTTTTCAGTTGCGTGGAAAAAAGACCGTTGTTTTGGATCTGCCTGATGATGAAGAACGTCGTCATCAAGAGACGCTCACACCGTCACAGTTACGTATTGAGTTGCTTCGAAAGGGCATAAATCCATACAAGGAGGTTCAACCACGTGCGTGGCAGGAATCGCAGATAACAATGCAATCTTTCTGTATGTTTCTTTTCTAATCCCTTCAGTCTTCTTTTGTGGTACTTTTATTCAGTACTTATTCAGTACTCTCCAAGTTTAGATGGTGTGATCGACCCGTTCGTTACTCCTGAGGAGACGTTACCAATTTTTAGCGGAGGTATTGATGGAGTGAAGGAGAAAGGAGAGGAGTTGAAGGTATCAGTCTCATCTTTATTAGTTTTTCTCTAAGTTCCCTTTTTTTTAAAACAGCCTGTTTTATTTTTCACTTTAGCAACGTATGCTCCACCGATATCATAACTGGCGAAATGGCACGAGCAGAATTCGAAAAAAGGAAGGCTTCGAGAAATTTGATGCGAAGGTGCTTTTATTATTTGTATTGTTTCATCGTTTTAGCAATGTCTTTTAGTTTTGGTCGCAATGATGCCTAGTTTTTTGTTCTGTTTGCTGCGATTTGAAGCCTATTCGTATATATCGGTTTGAATTATTCACTTTACACGGGGTTGTTATGTAACTGTTATTCGGCTAACGTTTGGACGTCTTCGTCTTCCTCAGAGCCGATGGTCCGAATCGATCTCCACGCTCGTTCGTCTTGTCATGTGGTGTCGTCGTCGTATCGAGTCGAATCTTTTTCTTTGGAGCACTGCTCAGATTGTTGACTGATTATCGGCTGAGAATAACTTCATCTCATTTCGACAATCCACCCTGTAGAAGTCGGGATTAGAATAGCTAGCACTTAGAAAAGTAACACTTATGAAACCGGCTTTCACTTGACCTAAGCACGAATAGTCAATATATCTCTTTGAATTCACTTATTCACACAATTCACTAATAATTTAGCTTACATTTACGAGTTTGTTGTATAAGTTTTATTGGGCTAGTGTTTCGACGTCTTCGTCTTCCTCAAAGCCGATGGTCCGAATCCATGTCCATAGTCGTTCATCTTCTATTCACATAGGTTGCAGTGCTTCCTTTCTCTGAAAAGAAACAAACCAGTCACCTTTGTTATATTTTTTGTTCCCTAATTTGATTTTTCTCCTCATTTTGTTAGTATCTTCTCTTTCAATCACATTCTACGTTTCCCTATGTTTTCCTTTTTTTTAATTACTGTGGAACATTTCTAACTCTATGTGATGAAAAAGGACCCGTTGGTCATTTAAATGTGGTGCGCTCAACGCTTGCTGTTCGATTTCACAACTTATTTTGAATGTCATGATGATTATTGCAATGGAAGTGATGGTGATTATGTCAGCGGTGAGTGTTAAAACTGTTTGCTGTTTTGCAACACCCAGCTTTACGATGATGGTCGGTCTGGAATGAAGTTTTGTTTCGACGCACACGACCCGCACACTATGCATTTTTATGAATTAGTTATAGCGTGGTGCTTAGAAGACGGGTGATACGGACAAATAGAGTGTCAGTCGTTGGAATCAATATTTATTAAAAACATGTAGAGGTGAATCCTTCTACCTTTTTAGATGGTTAGACTTCCACTATTGACGATTATTTGAATGTTATTCGTGCTTATATATGATATCCTGTTTGTCTCGTATTTTCAGGAAATGAATTTGAAAAGCTGTTTTGTCGGTATTGCTTGATTTTTCCGGCATTATGTACTGTCGACGATTTTCTCGCGGCATTTAGACGGAGAATAATACCCCTATATTATATCCCCACTAGAGCAACAATTATGTCGCTGTTATTAAGATTGTGCATTAAATTCATTTAAATTTTACAGTAGAGCTGGATACACCTGCATAATTTTAGTATATAAGGATATTTCCAGAAACGGAAGTGTAACAGGCTCAGTGATAATGGTGGTCTTATAGGGTTTAATGGATGAATAGAGGCATTTCTTTATCGATAACTTCTCAGGTATCTTGTTGTCTGAGCGCGTGATTAAGAAAAAGAATTGATTGGCCAGCGCACAATGAGTAGGACTCCCGAAGTATGTCCTCCACTAGGAACTGAAGAGAAGGAGATTAGAATGCGCAGCAAGATCGGCATAATGGTGTTGAGATGAAATGCTAAAAGTGACGACTACGTTGTATGTCTCGACGCGGTAACGTGCTTGGTGAGCCAATGGACAGTCTGCCGCGTCTGCAGGTGGAAAATTATGATGCATAATTTAAAAGTTTAAGTCTATTTGATTTTGGCTTGAGCCGTTTGAGTGCATGCAACCTCATTCGGCGATGTTCAAAGAACGACTCCTTAAAAGGGAGGCGTGTTGGTTACTACAAGGTACTGACAAGGATATAGGCCTCCATGTCTGGTGTCCACGTCAATGTGAGGGCAGTTAATCTGATATTTTTGTTCAAACTGTTGCCGCAATCCCTTAAGAAATGTGATGAAAACACATAAATCGTGAAAGTGTATTACGAAAGGATTGTGGTGGCTGCAAATATTGTATAAAAATTCTTATGTTATGCTGTAGTTATTGCAAATAGTATAAAAAATTGTGATTGTAGAACTTCTAGATTGTGCCATGAGAATTTAATTGAGTATGATTAGTTTAAAAACTTGTTAGTTGTATATCAAAAAAAAGCAATATGGCAGAAAGTGAGTGAGCAAATATCGAGTCATGCTGATCAATTTACCACGAAATCTTGAGGTCAACGCAGATTGGCCTGGCGGTGTTAGCCGTGTCCCAAATTTTGTTTTAATGTTGCAGTTGTTTGGCCCTACAGCCGATTTTATTTACGAGGAAGCTCATCGAGCTCTCATGAAGAGGGATAAGCCCACTCTTCATAAGTGTATTACAGAACATGCGTTTACAGTAAGTTATTTGTTAAACTTGTTTGTATGTTTTATAAAATTAACGTTTTGTTTTGTGGAAAATGTGGCCCGATGTGGAGAATGGGTCAGTCGTATGGGATCTTGTCGAAAGACTAGAACCAAGTAGGGTAGGTTTTTCGCTGTAGTTTAATTCTCATTTTTATTGTTGACGAATGTAGAAATGAAATATCTCAGGTTGTTTCCGTCCGGTGTGCCGACCACCCATACAAATCAGGGAATGATATTGCTCAAATAACGGTTAGAATGCGTACTAAACAGGTAACATTTCGAAAAGTTTCTTACACAAATATTTTTAGGCTTTTTCCATGTTCCTATTATAAAATCGTAAGCGCTACTTACAGAAATTGGCTATATACGACCGTTTTGGACATCTTTTGTTGGGATCAGAAACAGAACCTCGGGAAGTCGTTGAGTACGTGGTGTTTGAAAATCATATCGCGGTCATCGATGGAACATGGCGACTGCACGACAAAGTTTATCCGAAATGGGTTACACCGAAACAGGGAGCTCATACTACTCTTGCTCTTGGTTAGTTGTGGTTGAATCTGTGAGACTGGTTGCGATTTTGCGTGATATTTATTGGTTTCCCTAATAATTATAGTGCATTTTGTTAGTACTGTACGCAGTGGAATGACTATTGTGGTCCTGCTGGTGATTTTAGATAAGTTTCGTTTCTAGTCAGTCTTACGGCAATAGTTCATACTTATCCTACGTCTGTTTTCCTTATTTAAACTCAAAACTTCTCCAAATATTTTGCAGGTGAGGCCAATGAGGAGTCGCGACCTTCTCATTCTTCGAGTCTTCCACTGCGTGTACAGGAATTAGAAGAACAACGAAAGAAGGATAAGAAGAAGAACGAAGAGGACAGCGATGCCTGATGATCTGTGTGCTCCTTTTCATGTATTCTAAATTAGTTCTGTTTCTCACTTCTTAAAACATTCGCGGCCGTGCTGATTTTTGACGACTACCAGTACATTTCCGATAGCTAGAGAGTTTGATGAGTTGAGAAAGTTACGTACTGATAGAAGAAGCTTTTGTTTGGTGATAAAAGAGTGTGAATAATCATAATCTTAACCTTTTTTATTTACTGCCTATTCTTTTTAATGGCAGGGTATGTTGCGAAATGTAAGTTTTATGGTGTTGAGATATTTGCAAAACTCCGGACCGCAGTGTCTGTAGTGGGGAGCGAACGCGCTATGACCCTTTCCGGGGCTAACGCGTTCACCACCAAACCATGTGGGTCTCTCGTTTCGACCGTCTCTCAGCTAGTTCTATCGATCGCTGCCATCAGCAATCACCCGTCGCGGGATTGTTCGTTGCCGATTTGAGCTCCACAGATCAATCCTGCTGACGGCTGATTGCTGATGGCACTGATCGATAGAAATAGTTGAGAAACAGGGGGAACGAGGGACCCGCATGGTGTGGTGGTGAGCGCGTTAACCTTCGGAAAGAGTAATAGCACGTTCGTTCATCACCGCAGATGCCTACGGTGCTGAGTTTTGCAAATATTTCAGCATCATAGAGTGTTAATAGTTTATAAGGACATTCTATTTTGAATTTGTTCATGAGAATACATAGTTCTGCTTAGTTGTCGCATGGGATAATGGCTAACTTTTGGCCGATTATGCCACGAGTCATGTATAACTCATGCAGCACTTACCACAACAGCGCGTAACACTTAATGATTTATACTACAACCTCCGCCTTTATTACGAACAATATGGTTTTTTTTTTCTACTGCTAAAAAGTAGCAACTAACCGCCATGGGACTTAAGGACCTCTAGATCTAAACGTGTTTTATTTCAGCTGATGGAGTTTAATTCCTTTGGAGAACACACGCATTGAAGTCACTACATACGCTCGGAACTGTGTTAACATTGATCGGTTTCGTTTCCTCATAGATTTCTATCAATCCAAATATTTCCTGTTTTCCAAAGTGCATTTCTGCGCTAACCGTGATGGAGCCTATAAAAGTCGTACAAATTTTGTAGTCCTAAATAGGTTGTTTGGTTATGTATTGAATTGTTGTCATGTTAGATTTGTACACAATTGTTTCACACAAAATCGTTGTTCATAGCTCATTTTCTTCTATAAATGTTCTTCCTCAAGAACCTTTATGGCAGTAAGTGTGGTGTAGAGCCTGATTGTTACCTTGAATTTTTCGTTGTTTTTCTCCTTCACTTTTGGAGCATTATACTGTTTGTGCTGAGATATTTGCAAAATCCGGACCGCAGGTGTCTATGCTGGGGACCGAAGGCACTATTACTCTTTCAGGGGCTAACGCGTTCACCACAACACCATGCGGGTCCTTCGTTTCGCCTGTCGCTCAGCTAGCCTTCTATTAATCAATGCCATCAGTAATCACCCGTCAGCGGGACTGATCAGCATCAGCAATCAACCATCAACGGGACAAATCAGCATCAGCAATCACGGATCAACAGGATAGAACACTATCTAAGAGACACGCCGTGCGAAACGAAGGACCCACGTGATGTGGTGGTGAACGGCTTAGCTCCCGGGAAGGGTAATAACGCGTTCGTTCTCCACCGCGGACAGCCGCAGTCCGAAGTTTTGCAAATATCTCAGTACGAGCTGTGGTTGTATTGTGGCTGTGGTCGCATAATACCCTGCCATAAAAATTGTAGTAAGCAGCAAATAAGAAGTAAACATTTACTGCTTATCTTTTTCAGAAAATGACTTCTGGTATTACTGTAACGAAGAAGGATCACATCATTGAGAAGGTAAGTAGATATTCCACAAATGGTGTTCTGGTTTCTATTCGCTTAAGAATATTGGAATGTTGAGGTCAAGAAAGCTATTGATGACGAAGAGTTCGAGGAATTCCCCGTACAAGTAGGAATTGTTTCTTGCTAGCACTATTTGACAGCCTGATGTTTGTTCCCAATCGCAGGAATGGGCTGAGCGAGCACAAGATGGAGACGATGATGAAGTCAATGTATGGGAGGATAATTGGGATGATGAAACTCACGAAAGTGATTTCTCTAAGCAGTTAAAGTAAGTTAAAAAACACTACTATTACTTTATATTAGTTGGATGCAGTCATTAGATGACGGTGGAACTACTGTTTCCTTCAGGGAAGAACTGTCGAAGAGCGGTACTTTGCAGTGAGACGCGAGGTAAGGTGTGAACATACGAGACGTTGTCTTCGAATGAACATAAACATTCACCGCTCATGTTTGTTTTGTGCTTGATTTGGTTAGAGTTGAAGCCCGTTGAAATGTTGAGGCCAACAGGTCTATACTTTTTTCCCGTGTTATCTTCTACTTTTACATTGATCATAAAGCTTCTATAGACATTTATTCTGCATAAAATCTTTTCACCGTAACAACACTGTACACCAACGAGATCGTAAGATAACATTGAACTCAAAGGTCTTTTAAAAGATACAACGGTAATTTTCATGACGAGTATGAATCCAAGAGGATCAACTTAATATGGTGGTAGGAACTGGTGTGCAACTATACTTATGCTACGAAAACTACATGCGGATGTTGGCACTACGCAGTGTTTCAGTTGTTCTAGGAAACGAGCTTAGAGGGTTAAATTATTCGAAATATTAATGAGGCTACTACCTACGCTGCACTAACTTTGAAGAATGATTCTTCTAATGGATGAATGATGCAAGTACTCATCACTTTAAGAGAGAATTAACAGAAATGAATGAATAGTTTCGTCGTTTAGCTAATTAGATAGGGTGACTCAATATCACAAATTAGATGATTTTGCTACCCGTTCCGTAAAGCCCGTAAATGACAGCGCCGATGATGCATTGCACTCCTGTTATAATGAACACATACGACCAATTGTTGTTGGTAGCGTCAAGAATGTGACCGGCAATGTAGACACCGATGAAGCCCGTTATTGAACCACATGCATTGAAAATACCTTAAAAATCGCGAGGAATCAGTAATATACCATTCGTAAACTTGGATACTTGGATGGCCCGTCTTCATTGGTTCTGCGGGTTCTAGCACAATTTCCATTTCTTCAGTTTTGCTGATTTCGCCACTGTGGCCCTGTTGAGTCCCGAGATCAGTATAACCAAAGTCTGCCTCAGGTCGTCACCACCACAGGCAGTCGCCGTCCTTGTGGATTTACCACCATGCGACTAGTTCGATACCAGGACGGTGGTGGATCCTGGCATTGGTTTACTCTTAGCTGGGCTTTCTGATGGGAACGTCGGTCTCCTTCTCGGCTTGGTAAACCTTGATGGGGGATGGATTCTTCTGCTGTACACTGCAGCACGACATCCAGGACCACCTCCCTGCCACGATGAGGCGGTAAACCTTTGGGGGATCTCGTGAATTATATTTATTAAAGAAATATTCTTCGCATATCTCCGTAGGAACATACGACCTTTTAAAATGGATATCGGCTGGATAGAATGAAACAAAGCAGCACATTGTGAGAAAATATGAATACCACTGCAATTAGGGAACACGTAACCCAAGTCCCGAACAAGCTTCGTCCCTATTCCGCATCATTTAAAATGTCTACTAAAATATGTCTTCTAAGACTGAAAAAGTATCCTTTTCTCCTGAAGGGTGAACTCCTGAGTCATCCTCAAATTTGGTTTTATATTTAATGGAAAGTGTAAATTAAGTACGCGTCCCTTACCAAATACTGCGCCAGTGTGGTGAGGAGCGAAATCGTGTGGATTTACTGACACTCCACCATGATGTAATCCTCGACATGCCATGGACAGAGAAAATATCAAAAGAGCTGGTATGAAGGATGACGTATAAGGCACTATAAATAGGCAAGCAGCCACGCCTAGCAGAGAGATCCCCTTAAAGTAGAGTTTAAATGAGACGAATACATCTATTAGAACTTTTACGTATGACGACAGATTTAGAAGATTTACCTCCATCAATCGCCTGGTGACAGTCATCGATTGGCCAGTGTTCAGTACTAGGGTGGCTAGTAAGGGAGACAACATTGACGTGATCACGATTGATACATTGGGCACAACATTATAAACAATACCCTAAACCAGATAATATGTGCATAGTAGGAGTAAAGTATGTAAGAACCAGCTATGGTACTGTATTAGCGTTGGAATGACTTCATGCAGTACTTCTTGGAAAACCGGAACTGTTCCTAAGATTTCATTTAAACTACCTGAGCATCTGGAAATGTGTCATGAAAATAACTGGGAAGCCAGTTGAACATTGTATAGTAGGCATTACCACCAGCATACTGAGCGGCAGCCGCAGCCCTGTAAAGTTTTTGACAGAAAATCATGGGATTGACTAGGTTTCTTGGCTATCGGGTATTAATCTTGTTGCTTGAAAACCGAATAACATGTAGTATGGGGCTTGCAAGTTTAATCCGTAGCCATATGAGAGATTTATGGTTGAGAATCCGATGAAGGCATACTAGAAAACAAACTAAGGCAAACATTACAGCGACAAGAACACCGAATAATAGTGCTCTATGTTAACGTATTTCTATGATGTTATTAACACTCATTTCCCAAAGGTTTAGCGCTTCATAGTGGGTGGGAGGCGATCCTGGCTGTTGGGCTGCGATGCATGGCGGAGGGAATTCATCCCCCAACCCCAGCAAGGTCTCACAAGCTGAAGAGTCGGGCGCTTCCAGGAAGCTCGGCTAAGAGTAAAACAATACCAGGATCCACCACCGTCCTGGTCGCATGGTGGCAAATCTCTATCTGATCCACACACAAAGGCAACGACTACCTGTCGTGGTGACGACCTGGATCAGACTTTGGCTAGGCTGACCTCGGGACTCCAGAGAACCACAGTGGCTGAACCATCAAAACTCCGAAAAAGTGGAAATTATACTGGGGCCCACACAACCAGTGAAGACGAGCCATCCAAGTAAGTATTCACAATCAAGAGAAACGTATTGATAAAAAACTTGTCAGCGTTGGTGCAGTTTTCGAGGCGCTTTTCCCCTCCAGAAATTTCTGACATTGAGAATTGTCTGTATAAAACGAACCAGAATGCAGGATGCTGGAATAAGGTTTTCCACGGAACCGCTGCTGATGCTATAGTAATACTAGAAATCGACAGGCCGGTCGTTTCAGGTCGTACCTATAATTCTATCACACTTCATGGGGAAGTAGTTATACCGTTTTTCTTCATGGAATAACGAGATAAACGAACCAATCATAGAGATGATTTGGGTAGAGAGGATTCAACATGTTCACATCTGTTTGTAGTGTTCATGGGATTTCGGTGTTCACACCGCTTTCTTTTCATTCATCCTCTATCCTCAGTTGAACAACTAGGCCCTCTTCAAGGAAAGCACTTACCTTTTTCGTTAAATCGACTTCAGAAGAAGACGGAGTAAGGCTCTGACGATAGGCCGAGCGCGAAAGCACGAAGTGAAGGCACCAATACCAGAGTAGGGACAAAAAACCTGCAACAAAAATTCAGAAAAGAAGCTAAAATGCAGCAGTACAGATATAGTTAAGCAATCGAATTAGTTTCAGTTACAATAAGAATTCTCGATGAAGTTACGCTAGCAAATTTGGAGACATTTCTTTGGCATAAAGGCTAATAAAAACTTTCTCAAACGTGGCGTAGATCTGCCTAAGCGCTGAATTTGAAGGCTCAATATCAAGATTTTCGTGGCTCAGGTGATGCCCATCTCAGATTTATACTGTTGACGTTTGAATACTATCAGTTTAAAGGATTTCGATGTAAAGGGCTTAGGGCTTAATTAGGAAGCGAACCATTTCGCTAAGGGTACTTTGACGAAGAATTTAATGCCACTGTACTATATTGGAAACCTGATACAAATCACCGGTACAAATTCGCTTACCAACAAAGTAAAACAACGCTCTCCAGCCTACTTGAGCCATTAAAAGTGATCCGAACGATCCTGCGAGCACTGTGCTGAAGAGCAACAATAATGATGGAACAGAACAAAGGAGTAAAACCATTGATTTGACGGATAACCAAACCTTAGCTGATCAACTAGAAACGTTGAACAACATTCTGAACAAGAAAGTGTGGCTTGCATTAAAACTTTACAAAAGAGTTAAATACAGTGCTAGGAACCGATGACATACTGGGACTCTGTAAATTTCATATCTGTAAAAAGTAGTCTCCTAAAAGTTCACCGCCTCATCATGTCTGGAAGGTGCTCATGGGTGTCGGACTGCCGTGTACAGCGAGAGGATTCATTTTCCGGCAGGGTCTCCTAAGCTGAGAGGGAGTCCCGCGTTTTCACCAGGAACCCCAACTAAGAGTGAACCAATACTAGGATCCACCACCATCGTGGTATCAAACTAGTCGCATGGTGGCAAATCTCCATTTGATCCACAAAGGCCGTGACTGCCTGTCGTGTTGACGACCTGGGCAGACTTTGGCTAGGATGACCTCGGGACTCCAAGGAACCACAATGGCTAAACCAGCAGAACTCCGAAAAAGTGGAAATTGTGCTGGCGCCCGCACAACCAGTGAGGACGGGCTATCCAAGTAAGTATAGAAAAATAGCAGTTAACAGTTATTCGTAGCTAACTATTCAAGCCAGTGGCTAGACCAATAAACTAACCCACAATGCGATCCAGCAAGAATAATACCAAAAAGTCGTCCTTTATCGGCGGACGTTAAGTGACGAGCTATCATAGAGGCCATTGATGGAATATGAAATGCTGAGCAACAACACAAAATTATCTCAAAAGTCGTGTGTATTCGCTTGTTGTAGAAGAAAGCCTCAACTTCAACTATACCTTGTCCCACTCCTGACAATATTCTAATAAGTAATAGAATAACTAGCGGGAAACCACTCCAGTAGGCAAATTCGAAGAGCTGCGGTGTGAAGAACGTGAGAACGATCCACACCAAACTCGATATGGGTAGGACCTAGTAATTGGGTTAATGAACGAAATAACGAAAACTGGAATAAGAATGAAAATTATTTTAAGAGAAAAGACTAGAAATAAAATCTTATTTTCACTCACGTTTTCTCCACTATAGATGTCGGCAATCCATCCAGCAAATAATTGCGTGAGCGCATAACCCCAGAAAAAACATGACAACATGATACCCTACAAATTCGATTTGATCGAAAAGATTTTGCAAAAAGAAAAATAAAAATTTTGAGTATTTGGGTATTTGGCAGTGTTTTTTGAAAATTACGAATATTCTTAGCAAACGCGTTAAGCATATATAAAGGCAGATCACAACCTAATCGATACAAGTCGATAAGATGTTGTCATTTGTATTGTCGTCAAGGGAAAAGAGCTCAATGAGCTCACCGAATCCGTCTTGTTCCATGTAAATTCTTTTGCGATATCAGCTGCTGCAATAGGAAATGCTACACGTGAAGCGTAAAGCACACTTGTACCACAGAAAAGTGTCACGGCCCAAATTTGTGCTTCTGTTCTGAACGCGAAACGTTTCTCTCTACCGATCAATAGACATAAAAAGAGAAACATCGAAATGATAAATATTGATTTTTGCGAAATTTTAAATGTTTCATTTGAACTGATTCGCCTTAATTTCTCGCATCGAACACTTTCGCCAATGTTGTGGCGTGCGACAGACACGGCTGATGATTTTTCTGATTCCCATTCGAGTTCTTACAAAATTAGCAACGTTTTCATCCGTCTATAGTTTCCTCTTTCTCTGTACTGTTATTTGTACTATGACTTATATATATGCACTCATTTGATTCTGGCGTGTGGAGTGCAGTGGTTAGAGGTGCCTTGCAATACGCACGTGGTCGTTGGTTCGATGTTGCATCGCGAGCTCACCAAGCTTTCTATCCATTCGGGCTCGATAAATTGGTACCAGACCTGTCTTAGAGGATAGGAATTGATTTGAAATATCGGTAAACCACCAAGCGTAATTTAAGGTATAGGCCGAATATCTATTGAATCACCTCTAACGATGTTGTGTGAAGCCTTGATAGTTTTATGGCCTCTGAAGGATCGCGTTTCCACTCCGTTCCACAGAGTACAAGAACCGTCGAACAGATAGCGACGAGCACGAAGTTCTGCCTCCACTACTGAGGTGAAAACCTTTTAGAAAACTGAAAACCAAGGGCAAGTCTTCCTATCCTACGTCCAGTTTTTCCATCCTGGTTATTACTTATGCGGATTGAATATCCTTCACATCGAGCGTAGTATATGGACGTCCTATTTCGTTATGATCTTCGAACGTCGTCATGCTGTGTTATGCTGAATATATTAGGATCGTATGTGCCTCTAGGAATGGAAAAAGAAACGCTTTTCCGTACACGTGCCCTTTTGGTACGATGTTTTTATTAGACTTTATTGCGGTCGTAAACAGATTCGACTAAAGGACAGTGTCTAAATGAATCGATTTTTCTATCGGAAATATAAAGGGTCGATAGAAAGTTGCGTAATGGCATATGGAGTTATTATAGGTGTAGATGTTCTTCATTCTTATATAAGAAATACAGATGTTCATTGTTGTTATGTAGGAAATATTCCTTTACTTCTACCAACGTTGACGAAACCGTACTGTATTTTCACTCGTCCTTGATGTCTTTCCTCATCGACAAAGGTTACAAGACGACTGAAACTACTAGGTAAGTGGCCAATACAGTGTGAAAAAAATCCATTTCGCAAAGACCAAATCCTCACACAAAATTCCACCTGCTGTGCACGTTGGGTTTCACTCAGCCTTTGAAGAAGCCTATGGGTAACCTTAATGAAGGTATCCATTGTTGCTGGTGACAACTATGTGATCCTGATGTAGGTTAAATGTTATGCACATGTTATGTGCCACAAATGATCACCAATTCAGAACACACTGACCAGTCAGCTTCAATACTGGAGAAGAGAATCACTACCGATCTCTATTCCCTGAGTCGCAATTCAGAGTTCTGCGAGAACAATACTATCTGGACTTTTTCTAGCGAAATCGTCGAAATTAAAGTGATCAAGAAATTTTATCAGGTGTCATTGTTCATGCCGTCGAGGGCCGGAGATTTAGGCGAATAGCTAACATCAAATATCTGTCGACAACCGATCTTCTGCTGATAATTAACAGCACCATCGGTGACACAGGTGATACCTCTACCTCATTGTTTTTACAAGTCAGACACTCGTCTCGCAATAGGTATTCTAACCGTAGGTAAACCTCACGATTTAACGAGTTTTTTAGCTTCTCAGGAAGTGCTTCCGAGAAGATGATGGCACCTGCCTGTCCTTCTTCGTGTATCAACTCCACGTTTTTGGTGAGTAAGCTACCACACCGCTACTGTCTCACTGAGGATCCAACGAACTGCGGTGCGTGCGAAATCGTCGTAAAAAAATTACCGAATTTTGGGTAACGTGATAGGAAAAACTGATCGAGAACAAAAACCATAAGATTCAGAATCAGATTACTTGTCCCATACTCGCTTCATGGGCGGTTCATCGTCGTCGCCAGGTCGTCGCAGCATCTGCGGTGCTGTTATTCTGCAGACCAACTGGAATCGGCAACTGTCAACGAATTCTTTCGAATAGTTGATGAAAATGCGAATGTCTCACTGGTAATTAAAATCATAAAACGTAAAGGTTAAAGACAGAGAGACACAAAGATGCTAGACAACGGCGATGAATGCAAATCAGCTTGTCAGCATTATAGAGATTACATTGGAAAGTTTTTTTGCAGTCTGCAAAAAGAACACAGTCGCATGAATCGCAGACGACGAGTGACACGAAGAAGAGCATGCATAAATGTCAAGAATTCATTTAGAACGATGATGACGATGCAGCTCGTGTTGTTCATCACATCTTCAAACAGACGATGCTTTAGAGTAGGTCGCATACATGAGGTCAACCGGATTTAGAAGATCGAGAAACGGCAAGGTCACTTAACAGACAAGCAAACAGCACAAGTACTTAAAAAGGGTGCAGAACACGTTAGCTGTGATGGTGTGGTGCTCCTCGACGGTTCATGAAGAGTAACTTCAAATGAGTAGGTTTAATGCAATATAGACCTAACAATAGGAAACTCTTTGATATCTCCTCATTTGTTGGCTCTTTATAACGAAACACTATAGAAGTGAAATATGACACTATTGATGATTTTCGGGCAGTGAGTGCCTCTCGCCCATCACATTGCCTAACTGTAGCGCTAGCTTAACCCGGAAGAGTCACACTTTTGGTCCATTTGTTGTCAACGAGATTATCATTCACAGATTTGATTAAGTACATGGTTACAAAACAAGTACATTTATGACAATATAGCGTAAGCATTTGAGAATTTCGGTCTATAATCGGACTGCTTAAGTGAATGTCTGTAAAACAGCGATGATCACGAATTGAAAAGGGTATGACCATAGGGCCAATAATTCAGATTATTGGGCAAACTTTACTTAGAAATATTCCGAGAATCGGAACATAGCTCATATGATACTTCAAGCGGTCTCGAAACAACAACGTTATTCTGTCTTGTTTCTATGTCGCTTAAGTTCTATTGATTAATTATGAGTGCCCTCTAATAGAAAATTAATAAGAAAAAGCTAAAACCTCTCGGCGTTTATCAGTACATGAGGGATGCGCTATGCATTCGAATCCATGAATAGAAGAATAGAGATTGGATGCGTATCTAACCTATACAATAATATGTGGTGGCCTACTGATATGTGAAGTCAATACTTTCATTCTCAAAGACAATTCTTTCATCAATTTGCTGATTCCGGAAGGACGGAAGGCTTGGTGTTCCTACGACGTGGGATCGAACCTATGACCGATCCGGTGTACATTCTAGAGCAACGCTAACCAGTATCACAGCCCTACAAGCGCCCTTTATAACACGAATATGTTTAAAAAATCGGTCTTAATCCATAGAAGTGGAGCGTGTAGCGCAGTGGTTGGATGCGCCCTGTAATACACATGGGATCGACCCCACGCCCCCGGCCCACCAAGCCTTCCATCTCTCCGGGGTCGGCAAATTGGTATCAGACTTGTCTGGGAGGATAGCAGAACTAGCTCGATATATCAGTAGGTCACCACGAGTCATTGTAGAGGCCAGATATGCATTCAGTCACCTCTAACAATGCCTAACGAAATCGAATGCATAGCGTATCCCTTAGAGTTTGATCAACGCCAGGAGCTTTTCCCATTTTTATCTTTAATCATCGAAGACGATAATCTACCCCATATATGAACCGAAGCCGATAGTTTGCTGCTTATTCTTGTTTTCAGCTTATTCATTCCTTCAATTAATCATCCAAACAAAGAAGAGATTCGAAGTATCCATCAAGCATCTCAGCTAGGTTTAAACCGATTTCACTGCAGTGAATTTAGTCCGTTGTTTTTCACTCGCCAAGGATGATTATAATAAGGAATTTCCAACAAAGAAGCATGATAGTTTGTCTTCGTATCATCAAGCCGTGCACTTTATCAACTGGAATAAAAACTAGAATTTACACGTCAGACACCTTTACTAACGGCAAATGAGTCTCGTGATTCCATCATAATTAGATTACAGACCTCTAAGCCATAAAAATGTTTTTATCTCTTCTTCGTTTGCCCGTTTGCTTTTTCTCGTCTGGGCTCGTACCGCTGGCATTGGCCCGATCGAATAGAGGTCCTCGAGTGAGACACTGGCGGCTGTTGTTTGTTCTTGGGAGATTTAAGAAGATAAAAATGAAAATAAAACGAAAATGCAAGGTGAAAACAACGTTTAAAGAAATGTGTGATAGGGCGACGTTTGCACGAGATGTCTATCAAGACCTTAAGTACTCAAACACCGCAACAATTCGGCGTCGGAATTTCTTAGGAATCTGCACGCTTTCAACGGCTTGTGGAAGACAAAAAGCAAGGTATATGGGACAAAAACACGGAAATACTATAGTCAATTTGTTGCAAATAAATATTTTACATCGAAAGTATAGATCGATGACGTTAATTGATTCGTCGGTTATAGACGATAGGGATTAGCCGATTCGCGTCGTACATGATATTGGGACAGTAACATATTTGTATTTGTACGACAAACGTATAATTCGTATTCACATATATTGTGCAGGTTTCAGTCTTTCTCTTCTTTCGGTTAGTTGTCTTGCACATGTCATCCACGAAGGGCTTGGATGTTTCTATGGAATCGAGTGCTACTGGCTGACTCTGAATTCTTCATTAATGTCGCTGAATGCTGTTGAATTGATTCTCTCTGGGAAGATAGGATATCATTCCTCACCACAAAAAGTAAAACGTTCTTGATTGGAGGTAGTTACTCCCAACTCACTCTGGTACCAATTTTCCGAATTCAATGGGATAATGGGGCTGGTTGAAGTACGAATGCGTTGGACTGGAGACCATACATGTATTGGACGTGGATATATTTCATAGTACCCTTAATATTGCACTCTCAGTTCCGTGATGTAGCATAAGGACTATCCATATGTGCTTATGCCTTTGCATAACATGTCTTCAGATATCGAGCACTCCCCGACACGATTCTCATTTCACTGATATTTTGTCGCTTTGGCAAGCTTTTTGTATCAATTCACATGTTGGCCGTGTAAGAGTTCTTCTAAGTTACCATTACAGCAAACTATAGGTCTTTGTGATAAGGGGATAGGTTTGTCGTTCGCCTTACGATCGGGTCTCTACAACACTAAGACGGTGGAGATTCCTATCATAAGTTTACGACTAGCTGAGATAGGTTTACTGCTAGCCAATTTACTATTAGTTTGCTACTAACTGGGACTACGTGTTAGATCATCGGTGAAAGAATACATATTAATTAGCTGCGCTGAAGTTGAGAGAAGGCCGATTTTTGAAACATCGATTCGCTATATGCTGGTTAATATAATGCCCACTGCTGGACAGATTGTCCGTTGAAAAACAAATTACTGTCAAAGGGAAATCACTGCCAT